ACTGCCGATTCTAGTCCACTCATTTCATTTAAGACATGATATTGGAATCTTTTTCATTTTAATTCGTCAATTTTGTCTAAGAACTCAGAAGTCAAGTTTCATTCAAATTAGTTAATAATTAATCGTTTTGACTGACCTTTTTTATGTAAATGATAAGTAGAAAAGTGGTAGGAACTAGAATAAATAGTGCAGTAGCAATAAATGCCAGAATATTTACTTCCATAATCTCATCGGTTTTTTACTTCGCAATAACTTGGGATTTAATACCATAGAGATGATAAATCTTTGGCCTGTAATTCAATGAATGAATATTACCTCACGATGATCTTGAATTTGGATCAATATCACGAATAATAATATCTGAACTATCAAATCAATTCATCGTCGAGAATTGAATAGTATAACATAGGAAGTTCTTTTATCCATACCTCCCCAAACTCGAATTCCTAATCCAATCCAAAATTCCTTTATTTATTTATCATTATCATTTTTTATCATCTGTTCTTTTTCTCTCTCTAATCTATCTAGTTCCTTCTTGTACAATCATCTGATGAAGTCTCATAAAATAGCTCTTCCACTTCCAGTGGTCACATAGTTACAAACCCAAACAAAGAATAAAAGCTAAATGAAAAAAATAGAGTTTAGAACGAAACTTTTTTTGACTTGGAAGACAAAGAAGTGTGATAAAGATGAGATCGTATAAAATGAATATTCATCAAATTTACTATTTTCCAATTTGTTCTTTCGTCGATGGGGCCTTAAAACAAAGTTAAAAATCAGAAAAATGATTCATTCCCCTTTATAAGAGGAGTAGGATCTTTGGTTAATCTGTCCTTCCCCCTCCTTTCTTCATAGATTATTAGCCCCGGGACACCTATACCAAAAGCTCAGTGTGCAATTTTCCTGAAATCCATTTCCCCCCTTCAAACTAGTAAGTGAGGTTCCATAAATCCATAGCCAGAAAAATATTTTTTTTTGTTTTTCTGAAAAGTATTTTATTATATTCAATTTCGTATTGGACAAGAAAAGAATTCCCTTTATGTATGAACGCCTCAAAAAGGTATAGTACTTGATTATATTGCATGCATCGGGGTCAATCGATAAAAGCCAGCATTTCTTGGAATGTTGACTATAATGCTACCAATAATTGTACTAATCCAACTGCATATGTCTTTCTCTGACCAAAGGGAAAGAAAAAAGAAATAAGGATTTCCCTTTTGCTTTGACAATGAAAATCTGCCCCCGGTCCCCTTCATAAAAAGGGAGAGATTTATTGATATATTTATTGGATCTGTCGGGACTGACTGGGATCAAACCCACAGCTTCCGCCTTGACAGGCAGTGCTCTGACCAATTGAACTACAATCCTAGGGAAATATGGGATCTAGCAGACAATTTGATTCTTTTTGTTGGTTCGCACGACCTAAGGACTTGTCTCTACATTTTGCTTACGAATGAACCAAGTCGTCAAACGTGTTCCACTTATGTGAATAAAGCAATAAATAAAAGAGATAGTGATTTAGCGTGGAAACACCCGGCTCTAAAGGTGAAAATCCACGACCTGTACTCCATAGAATTTTTCTTTAACTTCACTAACTTCAAAGAGCCTCTTCAAACGGTTGATTACAACTTCTTGCAATCTACGGAATTATAATCTCTAACTCCTAACTGTTAATTCAACTACAACAATATCTTCCTAGTAACACTTACTAAAAGAAAAATTGTTCTTGCTTCAGTTTATAACTTACTGAAACAAGAGTACAATGATCACGACCCAAATCACAAACTTCTAGTACAAGAATGGCTAACTCTAGCTTGACTCTTTACTATACAAGTTTGTTGACAACAACCTGACAAAAGCAAATTGCTATTTTCTCTCTTTTTTAGTGTGCACCATAATCAGAATTCACACTTCTATATATACACAATTCTTCCACATCTTTGCAGCCACATTAGAAGTCTACTTCAAGTAGGAATCCCTCTTCAAGTCTATCTCTTGGCTTCCTTTGTGTTTTAATCAAACTCCAACTCTAACAAATCATCACATGTAGATATGAATGATTTAATGCTTATCAACTCCAAGATTTTCGAATCCTTGCTCCCAGATATGTTCATCTTATCCCACAACTATTTAAGCACTTCAATGGACCAGCTTTGTTCACCTATTTTATTATCTTGTCAATCATCAAAACTTCAATGTCCCCACAAATTCTCCTTTTTTGATAATGACAAACACAATCCCATTTCTACGTAGATTCTTCCTGCAAGGAAGACATCTCTCGAATGAAATAGGTTAGTCAAATTGGTTATAAATATTGCATAAGCATGATCAATATGTTTGCATTTTTCTTCCCCCCTTTGGCATCATTGAAAAGCCAAATCCGTGAATTATTGCCATTAAAATGTTAAATGACCCTATTGCCACTGGGGCAATCTCAAGACAACCATGATAACATTTTAAAAATAAGAGAAAATATTAACAAGGCAGTGAAAATTGAGCAACAAAAGCAATTCATTTAATCCAGGAAGTCCTTAACACAAGAATACACTACTGAAAAATAAGAAACAACCAAGCCTTGAAAGTAGGATTAATAAAATAAGGAAAGCAACTCAGGGGTTCTAAGAAGGAGGTGCCGAGGGAAGTAATTGAGAGAGACGTATGATGGTTTCAACATTGGAAGCCCTTTCAGATGCAAGAGTCCCTTCTAACTCAGTGATCTTAGCTTCCCTGCTTTTTCCAAAGCATGAGCAGCTCGAGTAGCTTCAAGCTTAGCAGTCTTCTCAGCTAAGGCATTACGCATCTTTTGAAAGGGAGTGTCAGCCCTTCTCATTGAAGCAGGTAAATCAACATGTTTCACTTCACCCAGGACATCCTTTGTAGTTTGGAAGGTCCAAACCTGCACAGTGACTGAGTAGTCCTCAAAGACATAGGACAACCAAAAGGCATAAGGAAGGGCATGTCCTTTATCATCCTTGGCAAGAACCCGTTGCATATGTTTCACCATAAGACTAGCCAAGTTGATCTTGACCTCAGTATCAAGAAATTCCATTATGGTTAGGTCAATAAAATTGGCCTCAGTACTCCTTTCCTTCCTAGGAATGATCATTTTGTGAACAACATCAAAATAGAGTTGATGAAGGGGAGACATTTCTCATTTCTGAATGCACCTATGATGAACAAGT